GTCGCCGTCGGAACCCTCGACTTGGCCTTCGCGAAGGACGAGTGCCGCGACAACAAGACCTGGGAGAGGAAGAAGGGCGGCGCTGGGGGCCAGAAGTCCTTCAAATGCAACGAGCTCTCGCAGATGAAGGCCAAGAAGATCCGCAAGCTCTGCAAGAAGAAGAAGAAGGGCTCGACGCGCCCCGGTGTCGAAGGGGCCAAGATGCTCACGACGAAGCGGGCCTGCAAGGGGACCTGCAAGAAGAACCGCAAGAACCCGCTCAAACGGAAGTGCCTTCTCGAGTAGGCCGACGGAAACGCCGCCCCATCCAGCCCGCTGCAGAGGCCCCGCCCCATCCAGCCCGCCCAGACCCCGACACCCCCAACACGCCCAACCCCCCCCCCAGCCCTAATCCAAATTGCCCCCCGCTCCGTTCGCACGTCCCGCCGAGCCGTCTGCGAGAGGCGGGCTAATGGTCCGTTAACTACCGCGTCGTGGTCCTCGCGGGCACGCCGCAGGCGAGGTTCGCGACGAGGCGCGCGAGGGCCGGGTCGTCGTTGTCGAAGCCGACGTAGGCGACCTGGCCGCCGACGTCGTTCGCTTTGAGCGCGAGCGGCGTGTGGTCGCCTGCGTGCGACTCAAATCTTCAACTCGACTTCAATGTGAGCGTATGTTTCGACACGAGCACATCCGCTGTGCTTCGAGAACTCGATGCGAGCCATCGATCCGTCCAAACATCAGCCGAACTTTGGCCGAGCGAGAGCATTGCAAAGTTTCGTCGGGACGTCCCGAACCGGCGGTCGATTCGCGCGCGGGTGGTCGCCGGCCGGCGGGTCGTAGGCCGCGTACTCCGCGGCCGTCATGCCGAGCTCGCTCGCCGTCAGCCGCCGCGGCACGAGGAGCGCCTCGCCCGCGCCGACGGCGAGGAGCGTCGCCTTGGCGCACGCGAGCGTCGCGGCGCCGTCGAGGCCGAGGCGCCGCGCGCCCGCGCGCGTGGGCACGTAGTCGTCGCGGGGCGACCCCGCCGCGTAGGACCAGGCGCAGCCGAAGATGGGCGAGAGGCAGTCCCGCGGCACCGCGAGCGCCGCGGACGACGACAGCACGCCGACGACGCCGCCGCGGTCGTAGAACGCGCGGAGCGACGGCCCGTAGGTCGCC